AAGTAGGAAACTCCTTATAATATGATATATCGAAAAATTAGCTTCCTCGACAACAAATGAAGTATTAAAATACTTTTTAAAATCCCACAGCATCTCAATTTGGAAGGTAATCCAATGCAGTTTACTTAAAGTGGCATATAAAATTCTACACACATCGAAAAGACATGATTTCAACTTTACTCAATAGCTAATCTATGAAACTATCAAACGCCACTCGTTTTGTCCAAAATTCCAAATAACGATTGAGTTACAAAATTTTAAAGTAAAGGCAGGAGCTGAAATTTTAAACAATCAACAACATTAAATCGCTAAAATTTTTATTTTTTATTTTTGTGGTAAATAGTGACTTTTAAGTTAATTTCTATAACACACATCTACTTTTACACATGACTTATCCATTTAAATGTTCATAGAATAGTTCCACTTATGATGTTTATAGGAATATATTTATTAAAAAAAATGTAATCATTTCATAATCGAATTAAAAACATTAAGTAACCTACTTCTCCATAGCACGTTGCATCTTCATCTATCTGTTGGAATATTTCTAATATGGGCTTCACATTTGATTATTTATTTTACGGGTTAAATGTATGACTCATAATAATATTTGTAACTAGGCCAAAATTAATAAAGTGATCAATTGAGCTTTTTACACTTTATGGGCTATATTTGATATGATGTGGTAATTTTAAGTATGTGGACCGGAAATATATGTAAACCCTAATTAGAATTTAAGTCATACTGGGATGGCTTGATAATTTCTTATATAAAGGTTAGATCCCATCTCCTCTCCATATAGTTTCATTAGTTTGCCCCATTAACGGCTAATACTTTATGAGGAGTAAGGAGAGGAAGATCTAGCTGATATTATTCCTAACCATGATGAATTTCGCAAGTATAAATTCGATTTATCGATTTTTTTGTTTTGTGATTCTTGATTCTTAGAATGATTACAATTAAATTCATCAATTGGTATCAAAACCTACATGCTAAGTTCAGATTTCTTAATAAAAATAAAAATAACGTTCTTTTTTAATTCCCAGGGCTGGCCCTAACATTTTGGGGGACTTATGCTAACTTCAAATTTGG